GGTGGAGGTTCGGTTACTGAACATATAATTTTATGTATAATATAAACTCAGACTTGTAAGGGTACGAGAACAGTCGTACTTATAAGACAGGCGTGACTGTGTCAAATTTGTACATCGCGGAGAATTAAACATTAATCCTTACAGTGGCGGTAAAGAGAGCGGTCCTTGGGCTCCCAAAGGTGTGTGCCAGCGGCGTTTTTAAACAACATATAATTTGTTTGTAGATCTACAGTGGCGTCCGCTTAAACTAAACACAAGTTATCCGAAAACAGCGGTAAACCGAAAGAAAATAGAAATGCCTGATTTTGTACAATCCTACTTTAGCAACCTGTCTGAACCGAAAACCGGCTAAACGGAAGAACATCCGGCGGTTCCGCAGATTTCCGGGGGGGGGGGGTAAATGTTTTACGGCGCTCGCAACTGCATAAGGTCATTATGAGCGCGCGGGACACATTAAACCTTTTCAGTTGGTAGGAAATTTAGAACTTTGCCTGGTGGCGGCCGAAGCCTACTATTATCGATTTTTACACCACCAAGGGATCTTTAACGTGCACAACTTGCACACGGCCCTCCGAGATTTTTCGCCCTTGTCCGAGATGGCTAGGTGTAGATCTTTGCTACCAGAAGATCAGGGGTCTGGCTGAAAGACAGCAGTAAGAAAGAGCCAAGGAGTAGCAGCAGAAAGGCTGCAGAAAGAGTCAGGAGCCCAGAGGAGGGGGCAAAGGAGGTGAGGGGGTGGGGGCTGAAAGTGGAGATGAAAGCAGACAACAGGACATTGCTAGAGAGCAAGAAAGGATGTGAAAGGAGACAATTTTAGAGAAGAAAATTTTTCGGTCGCTACCCGGAATCGAAGTCGGGACCTTTGAATGAGAAGCCAACACCTTAACCTCTAGGCCACGAGAGCCCCCGGATTTCGGTTTAATGGGATTCCAATGTAATTCTTTGAAAATAAATGTTTATGATAATTAATTATTTCTGCTAAAACCTACTCAGAAATGAGTGGAGTTTTATTCCAAGCAAGTTTTCATAACATTTAAGGTGCTTCAGCACAGGTGTCAATACAAACATAACTGGTGGAAACAGGTGCCAGCACTGAAATGCACCTATAAATAATATGTCTTTTATTATATAT